TTTAAAGATCTTTAATGCTTGTAACTAAAGTTTGTTATGCAATAAATTTTATCCTTAAGAAAATTTGAATATTCAAGATTGTAGCAAAAATCATGCAAATTAAAGAAAAGCAAAATTAGCAGAAAAGTAAAAGTAAAATGCATGTTCAAATGCATGGAATAAACATAATAATCTTCATCACAGATAAAACTTGTTAAAAGCTACCATAATTGAATTTAATTCTGAAAATTCATGCATGCTTAATTTGCTTAACGTCAACTAGTTTTCCATAGTTGCATAGTACACATTTAATTTTACTTGTCCGTAACAAATATATTTTTGTTAAATATTAAAGATATTTTCACACTTTACGAAATTATCATTAAATGACAGTGATAAAATTGTCACTTTTCAAGGCCATCAATTATTGATAATATCTTAAAATAGTAATACATACTATTATTATTTTACCCTTTAGTTCATATAATTCAAATTAAAAGCTTACTTATGACATACTTTCGGTCATCTATGCAATTTATGCATTTGCCAGAAGATTACTTAGCCTTAAATTATTTTTACTGATGAATTATTAGTAAGTAATACTTTTTGAGTAATAAATTATATCTTGAATCAAAATTTTGCAAGTTTTTCAAATAAAATATCTGGAATTATTAATGAAAATTTGCGGAAACAGATTCCACAAACACGTGCTAAATGTCATTTGCAGTCATTAAAACAAAGATTAATTTTTTAAATTATAAATGGTTCTCACAATTTTCATCAGCAATAATGTCTCTGCGTATAATTTAAAGAAGAATTAATTTGTAATGAATATAAAAAATACTTTGAAATGTTTTTGCATAAGTGTAAGTAATTTTTTATCACAAATGTATTTTTGTTAAATATTAAAGATATTTTCATACTTATTGCTTTAAATTTTTGGAACAACTTGAATAATACGATCGGAAATTCGTAGAAAATTGTGTCCATAGCATAAAATGTGGATGTACTGATGGCAATAAAAAATGTTTATTACTTAATAAAAGTATCTCTGATATGGACCCAAATGGACATTTGAAAATAGAAATCATTGGTAAACTGTTTATTTTTTACACTGATAATTTGAAAATTAGTATTTCAGAATATTCATAAAATATAAATAATTGTGCATGAAAATATGAAATTAAAGGTTGTTTTTAAAAATATTAAAAACTTGTATGTTTTGATAAAAATCATCCAAAAATATTACCCCAAAAATAATTTTGGCTTAGTATAAAAATTGTTTGATAAAAGGTGATAGAAATATAAGCATACAATTATAAATGAAATTTTAATATTATATGAAAAGCTTAAAATTAAAATACTTGAATTTTCATTTATAAAAGCAGTAAATAAAATTCAGCACATAATACAGAAAAATGTAACAAAATCACTATTTGATTTTATTTAAAATATAATTAATTAATGATATTTGTGCGTTTATCTTTCATAAAAATGTTATATATCAGACACAAAACTGGCACTTTTGTTAAAACGAATATGTATTATTACGAATAGGCATAGCAAGAAAAAATTGACCCTAGTGAAAGGTCAAAGGTTTCCTCTTATTACTGTAATATATGAAAGTTATAAGTGGCAAAATGATTTCTGTGAAATGCCTTTAGTAAACGTAAAGATGACAGGTGGACATTTATGTATGGCAATTATCTGTGCATACAAAAGAAGGCCTTTATGTAAAACTAAAGAATATAATCTTTATGAGAGAATCGAAGCATAAAGATGACATATTTGTCTAATAATTCTATTTAGGCCTTTTCATCACACTGAAAAAGTATAATTATTTGCAAGAAAAAGCCTTCGTTAACAATTCATTCCTTTGTATTCTAATATTGACGTTTGGAAAAAGCTAACAAATAAATAATTCAAAAAAATTTATGAAAAAATTTCCATTTAATATTTGTAATAAAAAAAAATGCAAAATCAGCAATCTTCGTGCAGTTATATCTTAAACAAATAGTTAGTTTTTTAATAAAAATTACATAGAACTTTTTACGAAGATAGAAGCTTGTTATTACTATAACATCTAAAATTGACCATTGGGCTTTTTATTACTATAATACCTAAACATGACCAAAATGACCAGTTTGTCGTTTCTCAAGTTCTTTTTTTGAGAGCCGAAAAAATTCTTGTCAATTGCAAAAAAAGAATTTACAGACAAACTGAATAAATTTTAATTATATTTAAATATATTAACATATTGTTGAATGTATGCAATTGCTGATTTTTTTAACGTCCATTTTTTACAAAACTGTTTTAGACTTTCATAAAAAACTTTTTAAGAGATGCAAACATAAGAAAGTATAGTTCTATGGAATACGTTAAAAAATAATAGGCCAGTGACTGAGCAAACTTTCATTTATGCAATTATACTTTCACGCAAAAAAACTTTTCATATACGTAATAATACTGTTACCTTCTCGGCAGTTGACTAATTATTCTTTGAAACTTTAAAGGATTTGAAAAAAAGAAAAACTTTTGATAACACTCAAAATTATTCAGTTTTTGCGCTAATAGAAGCAAAATTGTAGCAATTGCATTAAATAATAATACCAGTCTAAAAGTAAAAACTATTAGAGAAAGTATTCAAAAGACTTTGCAGCGCATAATCTTTCCTGTTTAATATCAAGCAAACAACTTAAATCTGTGCTAATTGAATTTCAGCAAAAATTTTATCAATTTCACTTTGCGTGTAAACAATCTAAACATTCTTCACAGCACAAGGATTCGTTAATTTGTAACTAGAAAGCAAATAAAAAAGCTATTTATTTGCTTTGAATTATGACTTCATTCAAATTTTAATGTTTCTGCTTATTAGCACAGATTTAAGTTAATTATCATAGTTTAATTTGCCACAATTAAACTATGATAATTAACTTGTTAATTTCATCAAAAGTTAAGAAAGTAAACATAGCTGAAATTACTTTAAAAAGTTATTAAAATTTGCTCAAAATAATAGAAGAAAATAGATTGATAATTTAGAATTATTTTGATAAAATTATATTTTTGCTAAAAAATTAACTTCAAACTGATTATAAGTGATAAAAAATGTCTTCAATTAATTTCTATGCATTTAATTCAATAAGTTTTTTTAATCAAAAAGCTGAAATTGAAATAACGGAAAAATACTTGCAATATTACTTCTGAATTTTGCAGCAACTATTTTAGTAGCAAAATATTGATTATCACTAGCATGAATCTACTGACCAGTATGAGTAAGAAGTTCAGCTCATCTAGAATTCACTTACGTGAAATTGAATACTACTTCAATTAGCTAAAAATTCCTTGATTTTAATTTCGACTTAGCTAATCAAATAATTACTCGTTGGCTTAATATCTGAAAATTGGAACAGAAAATAAAATGAAAACCCATTATTTCAATGCAACAAATTCTTTTATTAGCTGTTCCAATAACTTGATAGTAATTTCAATTCTTAGTTTGACTAATGATAAAAGCAACAATAAACAATCACAGGTGAGCTTACAAATGAACCATTTATCAACATCTATATTGAAATTATTATTTATAGCCCTGTAATATACTGAATAAAATCACGATTATTTTTGCCCGCTTTTGAATCAATTATGCATATTATTTTTGCCAGTACTATATAACCAGAAAGCGTAGAATAATTCTAAAATCCTTTTTAACATATAAGTTGAGTTAATTCGGCAATCAATTTGATGATTTGAACAAAAGTTTCTGAAAATTTCAACAAAAAAATTGCACTAAAAGATGAAACTATTTTGATCTCCCATCAGAATAAATCCAGCACATTTAGCCTTCACTTTATGCTTTTTTATCCATATGTAAATTATTTTCTCCCAAACAAATTGTCGTACTAATAATTTAATGAAGATTCAGTTGCAGTAATTAGATTGAGTAAAATACGCAATACTTTCATTCTAAGCTTGCTTGTTCAACATTCAGCTATTTTTACTTATAATGTGTGTACATATACTTGTTTTATAAATTACCAGCATGAATTTATTGACCAGTATGAAGTGTAGTACATCTAAAGTAAATTGTACTTCCTGTCAAATTAAAAGAAATAGAATTGCTTCAATTCATAAAAATTTTTTTCCGTAAAATCTCAATTTTGATCAAGCAAAGAAAGTTCGACAATCTGTTCAGGCTTAGTTTGGCCAACATAAACAGTGCCATCTTCGGATATCGCCAAGCAATGAGCATTTTCGATTCCCTGAAAAATTTTTCAAAGTAAATTATTTCATTTGTGTAAAAACTGCTAGTAATTTTGTTGTGTATTCCTTAAATAATTACTTTTACAAAGCTGTTTGCTTTTCCACTGTTCATATCCATCACAAAAAGTTGTGGTTCAATGCCTTCACTGTCAGATCCAGTCACTCCCACCAAGTAGTGTTCTGCAATTTGTAAAAAAATTAATAGCGATAAGAATTTTTGTATGAAATTCTTTTGCTATTACTTTATTTTTCATTGCATATATATTGGAATTAAATCGAAAGACGAAACTGAAGTAATATATCCAATTAATATGGATGAAACTTACAAGTTACATCAATAATTTTGACGCATTTCTTGATTATAGAAAGGTAAAAAAACCTTTTTTTACAGTCAAAAAAATTCATGGATTTATTGTACTCACTGAATTTTATTTTATAGTTTAATAATTTCAGAAGTTGAAAAATGTCACCAAATTCTTTACTTTTTTCACGAATTGCAAAGATTCGACCAATACTTTCTGCTTTAGTAATTAAAATTCCGATTGGTAGGGCTCGTTCATCATTCGCGATACCTGCACTGAAACATTGAATCCGTTCGTTTTCTCGATCAGCTACACAAATAAGATTCATATCTTCAATAAGTGCCAACGAGTGTGGAATCAAAAAATCATCGTCACCTTAAGAAAAAATGAATTCATCAATGGCATAGTCTATTTTGTGTTTTGTTTCTATCAAGTTCTATTTTCGCAAATATCAATGAATATATTCTTGTTTCACAATTCGTTAAATTATCTTTCAAGTTATTAATCTAACACATAAAAAAACATTCACTTGCAAAATCACTGAGATTAGTCTATCTTTAAGGATTAGATTTATTATTCGTTCATATAGCATTATACGGAATCAGAAAGTTTTGCAAAAACGGCAATGTTAATATTGAAGACGTTTAATTTCCGTCTGATTTTATGCTTTTTTCCAATATTAAAATGTGATCAAAAAGACTTAATTATTCCTGAAAATAGATGCAAATACTGAATTCTAAAGTATTTACTAAAAAAAAGTGTCGTCAAAAAACTGGATTCAAGATTTTACTACTATTTTTAATTTTAACATGATTTGTGTTTGAATTTCGATATGTTATTGCAAGGACTTACAAATTTTAAGATAATAAATTTATGATGACAAAAGCATCTAAAATTTAATATTTATAATTACTCAATACGATTCAGGCTAAACTCTACTAAACTGCAACTCAAAAAATACATGAAAAAGTGATTATAAATGTGAAACTGAATCAAGACTATGCAAATTATTATCTCAAACAATTTGTGGTTTCAATATTTCTTTGCCTTACTATAATTTAAGATTAACCTACATAGAACCAAATCTAAAACAAACCATTTGAGCCGCCAAATTCTGCTAACAGCTTTCCATACTGATCGAATTTCATGACGCGACTATTGCAGTAACCATCAGAAACAAAGAAATGCCCATTCTTAGCAACAGCAATATCAGTTGGTTGGCAAAAATGTTTAGAATCACTTCCTGGCACCAAATGCTCTCCCAATTTTAACAGTAATTTAAAATTTTTGTCAAATTTGTACACCTGAAATTATATACAAAAGTTGGAATTCTAGAGGAAATTTACATTAAATGAGATTAGATATTATTTTGAAACAATTTTTAATTCACTCAGTACTAGATGCTATCACGTATAATACAATTAATTCCTACTTGATGAGATCCAACGTCTGTTACCCAAATGTTATCATCGTAATCAACAGTCAATCCATGAGGCAGATAAAATATATCTTGTCCAAATTCTTGCAAAACATTACCAGAATGTGGACTAATCACATAAATTGTTGAGTTTTTGATTGGACCAAAACTAGTATTGAAGCGATGATTTTCATCGAATGACCTAAATACCGTAACAAAAATATTCAGAAATAAACATGCAATCAATTTTTGCAATCACTCCATCGTTGGTATTTAACGATAATTTAAAACCAAACAATAGTTAAAAATTTGCTTATTAGAGATCTTATAGAAAACAAATTTTTCCCTCCAAAAAAAGGCAGTAATTAGTTGTGATCTCGGCTATATATGTGATATTATTTCTAAGAAAATCTTTTAATTTAAATAACTTCTGGTAAATTTTAAAGTATTTATACCCATAACAAATGTGAAAGCATTAATTTTCTACGGTAATTTATCATTCGCACAGATAAAGCTAATATTTATAGATGAAATCGAATTTAAGTACTGTATTATTTCTGGACAAATGGCAATTAATGCATTATTAATGTCTAGTTTAGTAATATAAATAATATTATTCTGATTAATCTTCTCTTAAAGTTCCCCTTCAATGCTAATAATTTTTCTAAGCGTAGCTAAATGAATATGACTAATTACAATATTAATGAGAAAGCTCAAGAAAAATTTAAGTTTATTCAAAGATTTTTAAGCAAAAATTAGTGAATAAAATTAAAAGCATAAGCTAATTATTTTAATATTTTTGAATATCATTTAATAAAATTTGCTTGAACTAAAGAATGCCAGTTTCTTGCTATAATTAGAAATGAGCGAAACGGACGATAACAGAAATGATAGATACCATCGATTCCAAATTCGTCCAGCGCGATGAAATGCCAGTAACTGTCCCAATGAATTTATTCCAAGTCCTGTCACTTGACCAATAGCCTTTGATACCGTTAAAATATAAGCCTAAAATACTGGCGATTGATTGTCTATCATTCAAATTTTAATTAATTTTTATTTTATCTGAAATCAAATAATGATGAAAATTGAACAATCAGAAATACTGTAAATAACAAACATGTAATTGTTCATATACTAAATAGTTTGAATATTCAAAAATGATAATTAAACATTCGATAGAAACTTGCTTAAAATAAAATTCTGGTCGAAATATAAACTTATTTAAAACATTATTAATGTCTAGTTTTTATTAATATAAATAATATTATTCTGATTAATCTTCTCTTAAAGTTCCCCTTCAATGCTAATAATTTTTCAATGAAAATAATTTACAATTAAAAAAATGAAAAGTTTCAAAGCTAAAATTAATGAATAAAAGTCAGTACTTGTAGTCCGAGTGAATAAGATGCGAAATAAGCAAACGAGACGTACATGATATGAGTTAATTTAATACGAAAAATGAACCACTTAAGAATAGTGCATGCAAAAAATTTAGAGCAAATATTAGTAATCTCAGAATATCAGGCAAAAACTTTGTTTCCAATACAAAATTTCATTATAATTATGAAAAAATCCAATACAGCTTCTCAAGTTAGCATTAAAAAAAAGACCTCATTTGAATTATCAAAATTCTGATCATCGAAAGATTTTGCATACTGATCATCATCTTCCACTTCATTAAATACGTTATTATTGTTGTTATCGTCGTAGTTGAAAAATGGTCCTTGAACTGATTTAGTGAAGGTCACGATGCTGATTAGTAAGGTGATAATAGCCTTACAAGCTAGCTTTTTCATTGTCCACATTGGATGCAAGGAGAAGGGAGGCGAGCGTGAGACTATATTTATAATGAATGCTAAAGGAAGAGAAATGAAAATGAAGTAAGTAGTAAGCCGTTTGAGGGCTTGACTTTGCTCTGAATGTATCCTAAAAATAACAACATAAGAGGCAAGAAGTGCTCAATCGATCGCATTTAGGCCTTTCGACGAGATTGGACTTCTGTTGACAACATTTGCCTTATATTACTTCTTATATCTAAAAACGAATGCAAATATTGAGAGTAAAAAAAGCGCTAAAAGCTCTGATTAATCTCACGCAGTAACTAAGAAGTAAGTCTTAGTCTTGTTAATTGTTTATTTTGCTTCATCATTTCTTGCAGGTTATAAATGCAAAGATGAAGTTCAATTTCGAAAAAACTTCAAGCAAGCCCTAATTCATACGAAGAAAATTCATTTCTTGCAGAATTGATCTGAATTGATTAGAATTGATCAGAAGAGAAGATGAGAGATAATAATAAACTGAATGAATAGCTCTGAGGAAGCGAAATATTTTCCGTTCTTTTTCAAAAATTCAAAATATAAAAGTATTCGGTGGCAGGAAAAATTGGATAACTGCAGCAAAGTATTCTCATAAAATGCAAATTAATTATCAAAAATTACCGCAGTAAGGAATTGTTAAGTGTTAGCAAAAATTACGCTATACAATGAATTAAAAGATGCAAGAAACAATAAAACACAAAACTTGAAAACTTAATATATTTTAAATTAAATAATATAGTAGCAATCAATTATACAGTGATTAAAATATGAAATTAGCCCATATAAAGTACTCATTATTCACAATAAAAACTATCGCATGAAGGATATGAGAAAATTTTTTATTGATCCACATTCAGATACATTTTTAGATACTTCAATATTTAGATACTATTCATCAATTATTCAATATTCAAAAGCGTTTAGTATTAGAGGGCAAAAGGATAATTTTAGCGTAGTTATATTTATAACATCAAA